CTCAACAGTCTTTCCACTTAAAACTTCGAATTGAGCTCTACCTTGTGGTTCCATTTCAATACCATAAGAAATTTCTTTTGATGTAATATTTGACCCATAAAGAAGACTAAATACTTTTTTTCGGCAACTTGTATTCTCTCGCATTTTACATATGTCACCGAAATTTGATGCAGTAAGCCTCTTTCTTCTTTCATTATACCAGTCTTGGCTATGACTTTGTTCTTTTGTAGTACATTCAAGTTCTTTTCGATCAACTTTTTCCAATTTTTTTAAAAATAAATTTTGTTTTTTTTTTTTTTTTTTTACATTCAAGTTCTTTTCGATCAACTTTTTCCAATTTTTTTAAAAATAAATTTTGATTTCTTCTTAATTCTTCGTTGGTAAGAATATCATCTAAGGGTTCTGCCAAACCATAGTGCATATCCGGTCCACTAAATCGAGTTGTAGTTAATTTAGATCGTTTTTTTCCACTTTCAAATAATCGTTTCCTTGCTGTAGTTGTATTTTTCCTAATTCTGTCAATGTTTTTTAAGTATCGTTTACCAAACATACCTAAATACATTAAATTAAATTATGATTAATTGTATAAATAATTAAAACAATAAATACGCTTTGAATTTATACCTGGGCTTTTAAAAACAATTTTTTTATGTACAACTCGTAAATAGTTTTTTGAATTAAATGCCACTACAGCTGCCTCGACTCTAGTAGTGTAGTTATTTTTTTGTGTGAAATTAATTCTCTTGCCTCCAACATGCTTATTAATCAAGCTATTTAATTGCTCGCATGGGTTATTGTCTACATTTTCTATAAGGCTATCTGCATTAACTGATAGTCTGTACACTATATTCCGAATATGTCCCATCATTCCTGCTTTTTCAGCATCAGGAACAAGATTCATTTCACCAAATTTCGGACCAGAACAAAAATATTGAGCACAGTTCTTGTGTTCACCAAGTCTGTGATAAACACTGTTCGATATATCTCGTCTGAGTTCTAAAAATAAATAATATATCATAAATAATAGTAATAATAATAATAATACCTATTTACCTATATTATCCTATTATTGATAGCGTTATTTGTTTAAAGATAACTGTCAGTAATAATATAATTTTATTTTAGATTCTGAGCGAAG